GGTTTGAGGTGACACCATGACAAATTTTGTATGGCATAGGTACAGACTAAACACCATTTAGCACTTAAGGCTTGTTTCCCCAAACAGACTGCACATATAGAATTGGAAATTGACATGTATCAACTTAATTTTAAGTAAGCTTTATACAACCAGCCCTAAATTTATTGTTTTCTGTACCATTTAAGGTCTTCTTAATTTAAGGGAAAAGACAAAATCGATAAGTAGTATAAAAATGGAACAGATAAGTTAATAATAAAATGTGAACTTTTAAAAGTTTATTAATTTTGAACAAAAATACAAACTAATCCTGACAGAGACGTTCCTAAAAACAACGGACAAAGTAAAGATTAGAGACTACATAATAATTAGACAAGACAGACAATCGTACCAACAAAGACAAGCAGCTGGGGGGGGGTAGCTCTCATAATAAAAAAAGACGTCATCTATAAACAACTCAGAAGGGCCCACGTCTCGCCTAAACTTGAACATATAATTATAGAAGTCAATAACTTAATAATCATTGGTGCTTATCACCCTCCTCGTAATAATTTGCTAAAGAGAGATCTGCACATACTGATGTCAAAAGGTAACAGGGTTATTCTGGCAGGGGACCTTAATGCTAAACACCTGGAATGGGACGCTAATTGTGAATTCCACAACACGAGCGGACTGCTACTGAGAGACTTCGCTGAAGACAACGGTTACATCATTCACTATACTGACGAGCCGACATATTTTCCTACATGCGCGACATAATGTCCTAGTACACTGGATATAGCACTTTCCAAAAACATACCTGACATTCGTAACTTGCGAACCTTGAAAACTCTTAGTTCAGACCATGATCCAGTGTACTTAGAGATCTGGACAACACACAAAATACCCCGACAATATAGGCAATATTACGACTACACTACAACTAATTGGGCATCCTATAGATCGGAACTTGACAAACTAATCCAAATAAATAATAGCATTCATTCAACAGAATTAATTGAATTTGAAATCAATAAATTAAGAAACGCTATACAAAAAGCTAGAGACGCTACAACGACGCTTAAAACACAAAAACAACACAATGACATATTGCCTATAGAAATTTCGGACATGATCAACAACAAAAATCACATCAGAAAGAGATGGCAACAACATAGACAAAGCGAAGATAGGGTAAGATTACATAACATTTCAAAGACCATCAACAACATGATTAAAGAACACCGCAACAAAAAATGGCAAAATACCCTATCGGAGCTCAAAACAAACGACAATTCATTGTGGAAAGTTGTGAAAAGGTTTCAAAAACCGAACTCGCAACTTCCCACAATGAAAAAAGGACCGAACTTACTTACCACCGACAAAGACAAAGGCCACGCCTTCGGCGAATTCTTTCAGAAAAATTTCATTAACGAGCAGGAAAACACCCCTGAACAACAGCGCATTGAACTCGTAGTAAATGCGCTGCAGCAGTCAGAACCACGATTAGTGCCACATTCCTTTCTTACCTCTCCTAAAGAGGTGTGTGACGTAATTAAGGGTCTTAAAAATAGAAAAGCCCGGGTCCGGATGACATCACTAACATTTTACTAAAAAATCTTAGTAAAAAAGCTGTCGTGCAGCTCTATCACATCATAAATGCCATTTTCAAGCTGCAACACTATCTCAGTGGCTTGAAAATGGCAAATATAGTCCCAATATTAAAATCGGGAAAACCGACCAATAAGGTCGAAAGTTACCGCCCCATCTCCTTACTGAATACAATCGCGAAAATAACAGATACATTAATTTTGTTTAGACTAAAGAAAACCGAACAACGCCTACAAATTATCCCACGGGAACAATACGGTTTCAGGGAGGGACACAGTACAATCTCTCAAGTCCTGCGTATTGCACATCACGCGAAAGAAGGATTTAATAATATTCTTCAAACTGTACTAGTTACTCTAGACTGTGAAAAAGCCTTCGACACCGTATGGACCCGTGGGTTAATACATAAAATGCTTGTGAATGACTTTCCCATACACATTGTGAAAATAATCCAGTCATACTTATCGAACAGACAATTTTGTATTAAAATCAACTCCACAATAACAGGACCATTCCTAGCTCAAGCGGGAGTACCACAGGGCTCAGTACTCTCGCCGTATTTGTATACGGTTATGACCTGTGATTTACCCATGGGTAATAATGGTGTACAAACGGCGTTGTACGCCGACGACATTTGTTTATTCTCCAGTCATAAATCCGCCGAAACAGCCACCAGGAAGCTGGACAGCCATATAAACGGACCGTTAATCTCTTATCTAGAAAATAATAAAATCAAAATAAATTCTAGTAAGACAGAAACAAATGTGCTAACAAAAAGGCGGTCCGAAGCTATAGACACGCCCCTTCAAGTTGCAAATCAGCCTATCGCAGTAAAGAACCCAATAAAATACTTAGGTGTGCTTCTGGATAAGGGATTAACGTTCCGACAACATACGAACGACAGGGTGATAAAAAGCTGCGGTGTGATAAGGACACTTTACCCCCTTATGAACAGGCACAGTAGAGTCACCTTGAATAACAAAATTCTCCTATACAAGTCAATATTCAGACCTATACTAACATATGGCTGTCCGGTTTTTTGCTCTATGGCCTCAGTTCACCACAGTAAGCTACAAAAAGCTCAAAACAAATGTCTGAGGCTAGTTCTGAGGTGCGATCGTTACACTAGAATACGAGACATGCATACGACTACAAATATGCCATACATGCATGAATTCATCACAGCAACAGCTGAAAGCTTTTACGCGCGATGCCTCCCTGATGAGTTAAGGGATAGTATCAATAACATACATCGGGAAGACGGCGTGCGTAGAAAGCACGGATGTCTTCATGAATGTCTTAGCATATAC